TTATTATTTTTTGCTTTTCCATCTAGAAAAATATAGTAAAGACCAAAAGTTTTAGTAAATTTTCTTCTCAAAGAAAAAATGATGAAACAATTGAATGTTGTATATGGGAGATATAAACCAAACTTTTGTTTTTTTATTACAATTATATATACGAGGTCTGTTCAGAAAATAACCAAACTTTTTAAATTACGCGCTAATGGAAATATTTAGTGATATGCAGTTGGCAGCATTGCGTTGCACCGAGGCGCTACATAATATTAATAGTTTAATTTTACAATATATTGTTAATGAAACTATATTTTAACAAAGTCGGAGACAAAATGACATGTAAAAATATCCAGTTTGATTGACCAGTGTCCCAGTAAATAAATTCAGGGTATATTTCTAATAAAAAATTCCTACACATTTTGTTTGGAAACGAATAGTTTTGTACGAGGTTTTGTATATTGAGATTTATTTTACTATATCGGAGGCTTATTTTACATTTATAAAAAAAATAATTACTCAAAATTGGTTAATTTTTCGAGGAAAATGATACATTTTTTGTATTTATTAGAATAACCACCACATATTCAGTGAGTTGAAATTTTCGGTTTCTTAGAGGTGGTATCTCCCAGCATCTCCGCCAGTGGTCGGCAGACTATACTAATTTTTGCCCATAATTAGTCAAATCTTTACCTCTAGTTTTAGCGTTAGGCTGTGCAATTTGAGATTTTTCGATTATTGGGAATTTTATATTTACATTTATTCATTCTTCGTCCATAAATGTTTGAGGTACAAATGAAAATAAAAACGGTGCAAATAGGTATTAACTCGGGTACCATTTCGAAGGCGTAGTCTAAGAGCTACATTAATACAATTACGTCACAAAACTTTAATAATTGCAATACACTTTGTCATTAACCATAAATTTACCTGATATTAAATTAGGATGAAAATTTCAGGAAGAAAACTTAAACAATGACGTCAAATATGACCACAAAATTACAAGGTCATTTTTGACGTTATTTTTTAAATTTTCGTTATCAAATTTGTTTGCCTATTTAAATATCACGTAATTTTGTGATTGATAAAAAAATCTTTTGCAATTATTAAAATATTGTCACGTAATTAATTAAACTTTTAAACCACATCTTTAACAAAAAAGTAGATTAACCAGCCGTTGCCAGCTTCACACTGGTCTAACGATTATGAAATCTAAAATGGAATCCATATCTACTTGATTTTTTTGGTTATTTTTTTGGTAATTAGATTATAATAACGTTCGATATCAACTTCATATAGCTGGCGAATCAAGTGAGTTTTATATTGATCTATACTCACATCCCAATCTCATTGATTAAGAATCCATATTCGCTTGAATTTTTCATATCAGTTAAAATTTTTCGAAATCCCCCTAAACTGGGATTTTCCGCATTTAAGGGTGTTTTTTTCGGAGATTTAAAAAAACTGGGGGTGATGAAGCAATACTGGCCTCAGATTCGGATTCAGGGCGTCTTTGAAACAGACCACTTTTCTTTTTCGTGTGCTTGTAATAAACTAAAGGATTGCGGATGATATTTTTCAACCTTAAATGGAAATCTGTCGTTTTGGCCATACTTTCTATTCATAGTGATTCTTTTTGTCACTACAATCCCATAGACATAAAAAACAGGGGTGAAAGATGAAGTTGAACACCCTCTAGTTTTGAAAAATAGAATTTTCCATATTTTCTGTATTTATGGGAGCTTCGTCAAAATTTAAAAAATTTAGTGGGTAATAGAACAACTCTGGATCCGGATTCAGATTCAGCCCGGCAAAATACATAAGGATACGTAGGTCTAGTCTTTGGAACAGATCGTTTTTCTTTTTTGTGCGTCTGTGTTATCAATAAGTTCAATGCCATATAAAATTTTAATATAAAAATAGTGCGAACAAGTACTAAGTAAATAGGTGCAATAGATTTCACTAAAAAAAAATATTATTCAAAGTTCCACGTTAACTAAAAATAAGTAGCTAAAACTGATATATTTATCTTTCTTACATAGTACATAAATAATTAATCCAGTTATTAACAAGATGATTAATTCTGAGTATACATTAAATTTAAAAGAAATGGTTTTTCCTTCTAGACTTATTCCAAATGTCATCAGAAAAAAAAACAACAGGTAGGTACCTAGAGGCACATAGTTTAGATATTTTGTAGATTGAGGATAACAAGAGTAAAGTTCTAGCTTGACAATCACGGAAGCCGTTACTGGTCATTGACCGTACACGTGATCTTCATTCATTAAATGTGTGGCAGGAGCACCGAAAATTGGGATCAAACCTCGGATCAAACTCTGGGTACACTAAGCCAAACGTTTGATTATGTAGGAAAAAAATGAATGAGGTACTTATTTATATTTATATCTGGATATAGATAAATTTGTTCCATTCATAACACAATACTATACTTTTTAAACATGGAATTATATAATTATTTAATCTCGTATTTAATATATGGGTACCCAACGAGGGGGAAATAGAATAGAAATAGCAGGAATAATTTGAGTAATGTTGAGTACTTATTTGAGTAACATTTATTTATTAAAACAATTATTTATGCCTCCACCCTCTGCTCTCTACCTCTTTCCTATTATTTCTCAGTAATAACACTTAAGTAATTAATTATGCTAATGAGTATTTTAGTGTACAAATGTTGACCAGCAGAAATTTTTACAAATCATATTGAACTTTTAAGCAAAACAAAATATTAACAAAAAGGTTTGGCAGGTTTATTGTTCTCTGATAAATATTTTGGACAAACTTCCAAAAAAGGTAAAAGTTGCAAAATTCTGAGAATAGGCAAGGCATCGAAGAATAAACTGAAAGGGAAAATACAATGACAAACGAGCAAATAAAAGGGCAATATTTGTACATATTTTCTTTTTTGCGAAGAATATAAGTAGAATACTAGGAAAAATATTCCTTATTAAAGAATAGCTGCATATTCTTCTGAATAGTGAATGACCCCTCTGGTTAAAGAAGAAATTTTAATTACGAATGTTTTTAAAACAATACTGGTATATATCCAATCGTTTCTTGCCAACTTTGTAGCTGGTAAACCTGTTCAGCAACATTTTTGTTTAGATGTACTTAAGGAACACCATTAACTAGATATACTAATATGTAGACTGAAATATTGTTTCGAAGCCTTAAAAACAACTTATATAAAATATTTAATAAACAGAAAACATAGTTTTATTAATAAATGAGAAAATGAAATGTACCTACTTACATATTTTATATAAATTGAGAAAATGCTCAGAAAATTACCAAAGTGATTGGTTCACTTCGCCACTACTTCAAATATATAATAATTAATAATGCCTATCTAATTTTATTTCCATTATTCGATTTTAATCTGTCAAAATTAAAAAAAGAATAGTAGAAAATCCGGGGAAATCTAAATGATTCGAAGAGATTTGAGCAGCTAGAATATACCTACAGAGTAAAAGTTAACTCCTCACTTTCCAGTCATAAATGATGAAAGGAATAAAATAAACTTATTGCTGATATAGGTACAGGATGTTAGATTCGTGGATATGTTAAAAAAAGTGACAGTTTTTCAGAATGTAAGTATTGATCTGAAAAGAAAATGCTGTTTTTAAGAGAAGTATCTTCGCCTCGATTTTCGCCACTTAAAATAATTACTTAGATATTTATTTAAAATTGTTCTCAAATAATGATACCAAATGTGTGTTCTTACTTAAATGTTTGTACTTTTTCCATTAAAAATTACTATTAAAGTTATTTTATTTTAGGTATGACATAACAATAATTACCATTTGGTAAATGCTAATCGATTCTTAATAATGCAGTTACACGTTATTAGCCCATGACCTTAAAGTAGAATTATGTTGAAACAGAAGTTCGTGATACTACATTATTCAAATTTTTGAACAATTAGATTCTAACTTAACTCGGTTCCAAAATATAAAAAGGGCTGCATTCAATACCTCGTACATCACCAAAAATTCTTAGATCAATTGTTTGAACAAGGCTTCTTAATTTATCTTACACAATTGGAGAGTGAATATTCAAAAATTTTGATACCATACCCAAATCAATCAATTTACAGTAAGTAACATTTTGTTTAACATTGTACTCATATTCTTTCAACAGTGGGATAATACGTGTTACAAATAATATAGGTACACAGATTTTTTTAATGATGTTACCGTTGAAGTTACTGTTTGACTCGAGATTTGACTCTTTGTACAGGTTGTCAAAAGGTATTCAATACCCTAAATAAATTATTAAGTATATTAAAAAATTGAAATTAGATTAGAGATAAGAGGCGCGTATATTTGAATTTATTAAAAGGGAACAAAAAGCGTTTACCTACTTAATTATTTTTTTTTTAATAATAAGTAGGTACAATAATACCTAGTTATATCAAAAATTGTCAAAACAACAGTGCTTGAGGGAAAACTAAAAAAATATTGAGATTTACAATTTTTAATAAACAGAAGAAAAATTTCAAGACCAGCATTCACACTGTACGATCGTATTATAACTATTGTCAAGTGAGAGTAAGACTGCCCTAAATCTGTTTCTTTCATAACTAATTTCTAGTACATATTCTCAAAAATAATTATGTACCTATCTATTTTATCAAATTAGTAAACTAAATTATTCCTGCGTTTTCCTTATCGCTGTCAAGTTAACAATAAGGAAGTTAATGAAAAACCTTTCATCAAAATTCGTATAAATTGCTATTAAGTTACTTTTTATTGTTTAATATCAATCGTCTACTTTTCTGAAATTATACTTTCACTGATTAAAAAAAATGTCTAAGACTAAAGAAAAACCTATGATTTATAAAGGGCGATAGGTACGTAAGTAGGTATTCAGCAGAAAAAAACAATAATCTTTACGTTCAACCCTCGATTCAACCTAATATGTACCCTCGCAATAAATTGCTGTATATATGTATTCTAAGTTCTAAAGGTATATTTTAGAAGTTTAGCACCCACCTCTCTACTACAGCCTGTTTTGGGGTAACCTCGGGATGAAGAGTCGGCAGTCCCGGGGGCTGGGGGACGACGGGGGGAACGGTCCCTCCGCCGTCGAGGCAACCCCCTGGACCAGAGTTGGCTCGATCCAGCGTGTCGATCTATCAGTCCCTCATTACATTGCACTCTAACACTATGTTCACAACACTCGGTATATAAACATAACCTCAAAAACTAGTTCATAAAATTAGTAATAAACGAAAAACTGAGAGTCTTGTACACATTTTATTTGATGACCTTCAAGTTTGAGCTTACAATATCAACAGTATTAGGTACGATTTTATTAATTAATTGAAGGTTAAATACTGTTTTGCGTTGTATCCATATGCATTTTGAGGAATATATTTTTATTCACATATCTGCTGCCGTCAAACATAGTGTTAATTCACATTCCTTTAATGTTTTGCCTTTTTACAACTGCAAAAATATATTAATTTATGTTTGAAGTTTTGTAGTTCGAATGTAAACAGTAAGTTCAGTGGACTTTTTCTAACAGGTTGTTTTTAACGCATGTCAGATATTTATAATTTACACATTCGTAATTTATCAATAAAATACTTTTTTCTATTTTTAGTCTCCTCATTTATTGACAATAATAATACGAGTAATAAATATACACAGGTTATAAACACAATTTGTACATTACTAGTTATTTATAAATAAACGATTTGTCAATAAAGGTCCGCACTGAATTCCAATTTCACACACGTTCTCTCATAAACAATTGTTTTATAGTGCAATACAGTTTCTCAATCGTTTCACAACCACTTTTTTAACACCGAAAAAGAAACACAACTTTCGCTTTGCCATAGACCGCGGCCATCTTCCATAGCGTGCCAGTGCAGCCACCTGTCACACATGAAATGACGATGGGCGATAGACAAACGGTTGGTCGTGTGTCGTGTGCGCGTCTGTACGAACTACGAAATCCACGAATCTGAACGAACAAAGATAAGTGATGGAATTTACTCATAATTCCGTTGTGTGGGTGTGGATAGATATTTAATTGTTACTTGTTCTTGTTAATTAAATGGGCCAGCTAACAAATCAGAGAAAATAAAGCCTTTTTATTTATTGTAGCTATATACTTTTTAAAAATAAGTATTCTTTTTTTAGATTCGACTTGTTTTTATTAAACAATTAATCTCCACTATATTAAAATTTTAAATTAAATTCCATAATTAAAATAAGTAAATTGATAGTTATTTCGTATAAAGTAGGTAGATACCTAGGTAGGTACCTACTACCATACCAAAAGCACAATTGAATAAATACCTATTATCTAATAAAATTTTACACCATTAGGTGTATCTGTAAACTGAACTAACAATTTGAATTGGCCTGAGGGTCAAGAGCATCCATGGAGACAATTATTTTTTTTTAAACTTTAAGGTATGCAATATGCAATTTATACATGATATTTTTTAATTTTCTGAAATATGCAGAATTCTAATTTTGATTAATCTACTGTGCAATGAGAGAAATTCAGTAGTATCATTCTCCATTTGATGGCGCTGGTAACATTGCCTGTGTTAGGCAACCAGCCATACATTTAATAGTATTCCTGTTTATATATTATATGAATACATTTCAAAATAGTGTAAAAATGAGCTTCATATATCCACAGATCAATGATTGTGTAATGCATGGGATCTAACTTAACATAATATACGATTTTTTTTCTTTTAGAATAATATGCACTACCAAATATTATAATTATGAAAATAATACTTTAAGAAATATGTTCTATTAATTTTTACGTTCAGTGGTCCTCGTCCAGCAATGCACCTTTTTCACAAGTATAAGTTTCAGTTTTAATTAGTAGTGAATTAATTGTATATCATTTAGAAGAGTATTTTGTACTTAATATTCCCTCAATTTAGATCAAAACAATTTCCCACTAGCGAAAAACTAATCGAATAAAAAGTGGACTTTTCGTTGTCAATTATATGTTGTCAAAAATTGCAATAATCAAGGGAATTACATTTACCTTGTTCCTAGAGCAATCCAAAACAGTTTCCAACAGTCAGGAGCATGCTCATAAGATTGTAGATTCATTGTTTTAAATCAAGTGCCACTGCGTCTGACTGATGGAATCTGTTTTTAATGCACTAGGGCAAATATTTTAGAACAAATAATGAATTATATTTCTGCATTCAAAAAATACACCGAGCTCAACGCTCACACTTGCACTTAAAACAACCCGCCCAGGCACGTCTTACCTGAAGTTAAGACCCATAAGGGCCATACACACAGTTCTAAAGCTGCCACACACAAAACAAGCTCTAGAGCTTACCATACCGACACTTTAAGGAGGTCCATACATAAACGAATTTGAGTACTTTAGTCCAGTGCGTACAAAGACAGTAAATTCAGACACTAGAATATTAGAATCGACATTGCTTATTCAAAAAACCCAAGTGCTCCATCCGATTATATTATTGTCTAAATATGGGTAATGATAAAAGGCCATCGCAATAGCTAGCCAATCCAAATCGGTCATAAACGCATACAACTAATCGTATTTCACGACATGGCGCCCAATGTGGGGCTATGACACAAAACGAACAGACGACTTATAACATTATAATGTAAAATTTAATTTTACACAGAAAATATTAATATTGAAACGACTGAGATTTCAACCTTTTCGAGTATTTCTATCCCAAATACTGAATTTAAAAATAAAAGACGCTAATTCTTCAGGTTACTCTAATAAAGGAACTTCATAAAAACATTAACAGATTTAACTTTTTTCAGTATATCTAATAAAAGAGTTGATTTATTTTCTCAAAGTTTTATCGCATAAATAATTCTGTTCAATGCCTTTTTTACTAAAATCATGCCACTAGAGTCGTGGCAGTCACACAATTTTGAAAAAATTGTGCATATCTGGTTCTGTTTAAGAGAAAAACACGATTGAATTAATAAAACATGGCATATAGGAAACTGCTCGTATCCAAAAAATTGTTCCAGTCCGTTGAAAATTTTTTAAGGATTTTTTGTGATATGATAATGATAATAATTTTATATTAAATTAATAAAAATTTATTATTATTATCATGTTTTACGCGACTATTGATTGTATCTTTTAACTTTTTTGTATAAAACTAAATTTTAATAAGCTGCATACATAGAATGCAGAAATCCTAACCTCAAAAAAGCCATAGATTCGACTAGATGTTCATACGGGCTATTTGAAAACTAATACTGATGTATTTAACATCCTCAAGAACGCGTTTATTCGACAAACCCTTCTTAAATGTTTATAAGCCGCGTGACTGTCGAGCTTAGGCAACCAACATTGTAGGGCTGGTACTGGTAATGAAAATTTCCTAAATCTTGGCGTCACCAATATCTTTATATCGTTTACAATGAACAATGATAAACCGTTATGTCTACGTTCGAGATAATGCGATCGCTGATTGGTTGAATAAAATCTCATGAAAAAATACACCAATCACAGCCAGTGAAACACAATGTTGTGTTTTAATGTAATTTTGATCTTATTGTTTTAATTTGACCGAAATTTAATTGCCAACATGAGGGAAATAAAATTACCGTTCTAAACAAAATTACTGATGGTCACGTGGAATGTAATCATTTATGAAGGCTATGCACATTTCACTGCAAAAACAAAAGACAATAGGCCTATGCTCCATGAAAAAATCATCTTATTTCTTGATATTCTATTACCCCTGATAATTTATGCCATCTTTTATCAAAAAAATTTGTGTAATTATTTCCTTTCTGAAAATTTAATTATCCTTTCTCTGAATTAACAGACCGTACTGCCCGTAGACTTGTTTATGATAGCAGACACATTATTTTTAAATAATCTGTATCACAATTTACTGCCTATGTAAGGGTCGGTATGAGGGCAGTTAATACATACGAATAAACGCGTGCCCTTAGCTCATGATTCACATCGCTTGTTTGTATTTAAGGTGTAGTCAGGATATTGCTAGAAATAAAATTACATGCATTCCACACTTTCATCAACAATAGTTCTCATCATGCACAGAAGCATGGCAACCCCACTTCTTTATGCTCTGCTAATTGTTATTTCCTTCCTGTTTCATTTTGATTTTAACTGACTTTTCATATTTATTTCACCGAGGCTCTTGCCTAGGTACTTTGTCACTGCTGGGTCAACTGTTTCAACTTTGTTAAGTGACTAATAGAATAATAAAATGGTTCGTGAATTAGCTGCTATAATGAGTGTAGGGTATACGTGAAATAATAAGATGTGTCACTTGGTCCAGTGTTTGTTCTTGTTATTGTCTGAGTGAGGAAGACTTGTTAAAAAATGGCAGTAGTGTCCCTTGTAGGTAGTAAAGTAATTTTGGCCCTTTGCAATTTTCTTTTGTTGGTAAGTAACTACTGATAACGTAATGTGGAGCCTGTAGATTTTTTAATTTGTTTTAAATGGGAAAGGTGTTATTTTTGCTTCATTGTTCCATCTATTTTTAAATAAAAAGGTATTTTTCCAAAAAATATAACTTTTAAAAAACATGTTTAATTATTGATGTCCCATTATTCAATTTTATGTAAGTCTTACTAAATAATTTTTACTATTTATTAGTCAAAAATAAACAATTAGGAATGTAGTTTTAGTATTTTGAGAAAGTAGAATAAATTAAGAAATTAATTGAAAATATATAGATATATAATTGATAGAATCAATTAGAACAAATTTTCATCTTCATTCAAGAGAAAAAGAGGAATTTTCTTTACAACTTTTGACCAATCTAATGTTCTAAAAAACTCCATTTCATTTAATGTTTGACTTTCTTCATAACTGATCAAATTTGCCATATTTATATACAGTAAATTTCTAACAAAGGATCTAGATAATTATTGCATAAAGTTGCTTTATTATGATTGTTAATACATAAATTATAGTGAATCAAATACTAAAATATTAGTTACCTAGTGAATTGAGTGTTGCAATACTCATCTGAAAATTCGAAATTTTATCTATTTCAATAGACGAACAAGTATATTGAACATAAAACAAACAAATTCTTTAAAATTAATCAAAGTAATTTACAGCTATGTCAGGGGATTTACCAGATTTGTTTGAAACTAATTTAGGAAATAGATTTCAACAACAAATTCAAACAACTTTAATATTCACTCCCTGAATCAAAATACACATCTATAATAAGGATATTATATTGAATTAATCCAAAATGGTAACAAAAGTGTCAGTTTTTGGTTCTATTTATTTGGGATATTTTGTCACCAGTTAAAAAAATAATAAATCAACTTCTAAAACCAAAAGAATGGTTAATGGTTATTTTTGTGGAATTATTTTTGCCTAACCAAAAACCTAACATTGAAAAAAAATACATAAATAAACAATAAAAAAACACATCACTAGGTTAGTTTCGCATCGAATCTCTGTTTTTGTTCTTAAAACTGATGTTTGTGTTTAAATTAAATGTGTATAACTTTTGTTTATTTATCTGCTTCCCTAGCTAAAAATATCGCACAATATTTATTTATTTTATTATTACTTTTTTCAATCAAATCAAAGAATTATAGCTAAAAATTGAGCTGAGTATTTTGCTAATATCTATGTATTATTTGTATAACAGAAAAGTTTTTTGCATTTTCAAACCAATATGTTACATTTTACTTTCTAAATTCTATTTAAACATAAAAAATTACTTCGTCTTTTTTATCAACTATTTTGTCATAATCAAATCAAATATTTTCAGATTGTTTTGAAATCATTTTGTGTATTTTCAACAAATTGTAGATAAATAATTTCTTTCAACTCATTTATTTACATTGCTTTATAATTTACAAGTATGTAATATTACTAAGTTATCGACATATCGAATTGTAAGAAAATATAAACAAAATAATGTTTATTATATGTATATTAGACAATGTTTTATATAATTCAAATTCGAAAGCTGCGTGAATACACGAACATCCGTAGAATATATCAGCTACTAAATATTCATGTACCTGTACCTAATTAACGTTTGCTGTTATTAATTGTATTAATGCAATATCTAACAGAGAAATAATATTTGTTCGACACAGATCAATGAAAATATTTATAGTTAACTAGTGATGTTATAAGTATATTGTTCTCTTCTCACATTTTCAGAAATTATATAAAACAAAGATCAAAATTTAGATATTAAAAAAAATTATTTACAATAAAATGTTATATATAATTCACTATTAAAAAACCATTCACCAAAACTGTATAGATCACCATCCCATATAAAGAGTATATGATTAATTTGTCCGAATCAATAATATAATAAATAACAGTTAAGACGTATTTCTTCTCTTCTCTGTAGGTTGATTACATACAATCAATATATTCGTATTTTGGTTTAACAATTTTTGAACTGGTTTCCACGTCGTCGAAATTGACTTTATGATATTTCGAAAGACATATCGCTATCTTCATCAAAAAAGTTGTTCTTTCTCTAAATATGAGTGTTTATGTTTTAGGCATGTGGTTTTACACTAGTTATTGGGGGCATGTTAGTTCTCTTCGATTCAGACAGAGTTCTTCTCTCAAAACTGATATCGACAGGACAACTGCTGATGAACATGCCCCATCCTCTCCTTTACTACATAGCCCTTGGATTGTCCCTACTTGGGCTGGCACTGGCTGCGACTGGTATCCTGGGATGTTGGGCGTCATGCATCCATAATTATTTCATGCTAACCTGCGTAAGTACCCTTTATATTAATATGTAGATTTAAAAGCAACTACATATACATACAAGCCCGGTTCATCAACTTGCTATGCTAGGTTATGCTAAGTTTATGAAATTACTATGGATGGGTGAAAGATAAGGTACAATAATGGTGGTAAGACACCGTTGGACACAGGCGAGCCGTGAAATGAACGGCAGGCCTACTGAACCACAGTAGTCACAAATTAATAAGGATGACAGTAGGACTGCTGACAGAACGTTGCAGACTCGGCAAGTATCTAAGTAAAAGTATGGTTTTGTTTGTGATACATGCTTTCAATGTTGAAATTCTTGCAGCCTAGTTTCGTATAATATACTTTGGACACAAGCATCCATGGCACAAGCGAAACCATACTTTACAGACTTCTAATGCTACTTATGACATAACTTCACGTGTCACGAAACCTCGCCTTAATATTGGCTTAAGAAAACAACAAGTTCTACCAAGAGGAAGAGGAGACTATAAGTGAAAGTGAAAGCCTGACAACAGTGCGTTATCTACAGAAAAACTATGTAGAACAGCAGCTTTCAAAGCTGTGTTAAAAGGGATAATATGAACCTGGGAATATCATGAAGGTCCACTTATGGTTGACCACAATTTTGCAGATATTTTCTCGAAGTTCTTGAGTTCTGTGTCCCTTATTACGTATTAATAGAATTTGAATAAAATTGGATCCTAAAGATTCTTAAATTTTCCATTGACTTTGCTAATGCTCAATATTAAATAGTCAAAGGAATACAGTTTAATTTATCAGGAAATAATGATGTGTTGGCATGTATCCAATAGATAATATAAAATTTTCTTCTAGGGAATATGCTAGGTGTACCGCCAACTATGTGTGTGAAACTTAAAGTACTAAAATAAACACCGAAACATATTCCTAGATGTATTCTTAGAGACTTTGCTACCCTTACCATCCTTCAAAGATGGTCTCTGAAAATTGTTTGTATCTTATTAGTTACTTTTCAGGAAATGCACTATTCGCAAATAAATAATACAATGATTTATTTGTTAAACTTTAGTCACGCAATTTTACAAATGTATAATTCATCAATTCATTTCAAAAAGAAGTTCAAAACAATAATTTTTTCTAAAGCTGAGTTAGTCCAAAACTGTATAATAATACTTTCTAGGACTGGTTAAATTTTAGTCAAAATTTGAATATATAGATAAAATTAGATAAACTTTTATCAAGTTTTTGTCTTTGATTCATCCTATATTTCACATCCATTCTTCAAAGGACCATGGAAATATTTTAAAGAAAAAAATCAAAAAAATAAAATGCCATTGTTGAACAATTTCCGGGCTGGTTGCCGCGTCGACGATTTAGACTTCTCAACGTTTCGAAAGACATATCGCAATGTTCTTCAGAATAAACTCTGAAGAAGAGAGCAATGTCTCTTGAAACATCAAGAAGTCGAAGTGGACGTGGCAATCATCACATAAAACTATAAACCAGACTAAAATATCTAAAGCGCAATGTCATTCTGTACCCAATTACAATATTTTGTTATTTTTGTGTAATGACTTTGTTACCAACATAATTTGAATTATTGCTTGACTTAACAGATAGTTATTACTACTTTGTCTTTGTATTACAATAAAATCTAAGTTAAATAAATAAATGTATATATCTATATGCACATATAAACAAATCGGGAACATTGTACTGATGTGCTACTATTATCAAATAATGGTGTTTGCAACTTTTGTACTTGACACGGTTTTTAGTGATAAGATTTTTCAGTAAATAACTAATTCCTTATCTTAAACGAACGTGACGATTGACTTTCAGATACATGTTTTCAGTATTTCAGAAAGATTAGATAATGTGTTTTGAAGGTAATAATGACCAATAAAGAGAGATGTGAAGACATAATTGTATGAATAAATTAGATAGCTGTTGAAATATTTAAAATTATGTAAACTAAACCATGTCAAAAACATGGAATTATAGAAATAATTTGTTCCAACTGTTTCTGTTGTCCATAGAATCATCCAAAATCTTCCATTAAATGAGAAAGTGTTAATAAACCATATTACACTTTTACTTTAGAAATGAACTTTCCATCTTGATAAACAAGTAGTTAAAATTAATTATTATTTATTGGCTTTATTATCATCTACAGAATAAGAAAATAATTGTTTCCTTTGAAATATATAAAATAACATGTCTTGCTAGCGCTAATTACTTATCTGCGGAATTTTCTATTCTTCCTCATGTTGAAGATGGTAGGTATATCTAGCAGAAGATATCTACGTAATACGACACAGATTTTGTTAGCGTTATTACTTCATGTTTATCTGTATTTCAAAAACAAATTAAGAATAGGCAATTAGGTAAAGAAACAGAACATATTTTGTGTTATCAGATCGGTAAATGTTAAATGTAACCATTTCATACTTTTAAAACAATTATTTGAATAATTCGGACGGAAAATCTTCAAACCTTTCAATAGCAACATCATGTAAATTTAACCTAGTAACTCCAAAAAACAGGATATGATGATATACCATTGTTAAATCTTAGGCTATCCTTTACCCCTGACCTTTTATATTTTCCTAAATTCTCAATGTCTTTGTACAGGGAATTGAGAAATCGGTACTCTCATACGAAGCATAAATTAATTCAACAGTTTAAAGAGGAAATGCATGCTTAAGCCAATAAGATGTAGTTAATTCATTTAATATTAATTAACTTGTCGGGGTCATGTAGATGAAATATATAGATTAATCCCTTTTTTTGTTGGTAATGAATCGTTGTATCGTCTGACTTAAATATACTTTTATTATTATCAACATGCTCTTTGAAGTTAAATCTTCAGCTAAAATATCTTCTTATACTAATCAAAAGCATACTAAATTTTGAATAGTTACTGGTATATTCAGCTAAAATAGTTCAATATTCTTCTTTCGACAACAGGATTCATGATAAAATTAGCTTGACAAGGAGGCCACTGCAAATTTTATGTTGTTTATTTAACATGAATTTCAAGATGATATTTATACACAAATAAGTCCGCTTGTAAGATGACTCAAATATTTCTATAACATTATTTGAAAATGTGAACTAATAATTTCTCAATTTTAAAAATAAAGATTATACAGGGTGATTCACAAATGGTGACCAAAAATGGAACCTCGTATTCTTTAGTGAATTTTAAGGGGGGTCGTTCCTATAGAGTTTTTATCTAGGACGCTTCGTTAAAAAGATACAGGGTGTTAAACATTAAAAAATATTTTTAATTTTTTTAAATAATTTAAAAACTAGTAAGTGAAATAATTTGAAATTGGGCACATGTATTTACGTAAACATTGTCCAAAATCTGAGGGCTTTTCCTAAAATTTACATGCACCAGTGGCGGAGAGACAGGGTATCGGAGGCATATTTTTCTAAATAATGTCCACTAATTTTAAAATGATCTTCAACACAAAAGATGATTTTGTTAAAGAAATCATTTTCTTCTTTCACTGCAAGAGCCCAATTTACAAATGCACAACGTAATCCATGATCACTTGGTAATAATTCTTAACTATATTTTGTAAACCTTTAAGTGAAGATCCATATGCAAAATATTGAATAAAGTGGTTTGTTTAATACCTAACGATGACGAATTAATGTCTTTGGTTTTGCACATTATCATTGACAGCTACAATATTTTCTTGTGAACGACCACTTTTACTTCTTTGATCTTGAATTGAACCAGTATCTTCAAATTTATTCCTAATATTTCGAATTGAGTTGTTTGTTGGACAATTTGTTTTTCAATATTTTGTACGATATTTTCTCCCAACTTCTGCATTACTTTCATCAAATTTAAAATAATTTTTTAACAATAACGACGCGTTGTTCAATAGTATACTGCTCCATATTTATTAACCGCCATGTTCCTACTTAACAACTGTCAAAAAACCAAAACCATTCTAGTACAAAAAAACAAATGGCAGCAAATTTAAAAAGTTAACTAAAATTTGAACACCTTTTAGATACTAATGAAATTTTGAAACTGCCCGTTTTCGAGAAATATCAGTTGTTTTTTACTGTAATTTTTGGTATATTAAAAGTGTGAAACTGTTGAGCAAATTTCTAGTATTAAAAATTTTAAAATGGCGGAATTATATAATAATAGTGATTGAAATAACTGCTGGTATAACTTACCAACTTCCTTGTAATGTTGCAGTATTTCCTAATAATAATGCTGGTTCTTCTTGGAGAATGCGGAATCTACGCAGTAGCATGGGCTTGGCCAAACTGCATGGGATTGGGATTGGATGTCGTGGACTTGATAAAAACACTTCAAAAAAATTATGGAGTGAGTGGGCAAGAACAATTTACTGCTGCTGTGGATCTGGCTCAAAGTATGGTAAGATAGTACAAAACAATTTTCCTTATTTATCAAAATGTTAATACATATACAGAACACACCATAAAGTATTTATTTTGCGGTTACTTAGCTTTTATTCTAATTATTCAGAATTGGCTCAAAAGTACCTACTGCTGAAATATTTTTGAACAATTTTGGGTGTTTGCCTCATAGCCTATTTAGACTTCTTAAATGTCTGGAGAGATATCGCTCTCTTCTTCAGAAGGAATTCTAAAACTCGAAACTGGGCGGTATTTCGGTTGAGTTTATCTCGATTTTCCTAAATTTCTACTGCTTCTTCTTCTTTCCCTTGCATATCACATAATCTACTAAGTATTTCACAACTGCAGAATTTCTATACTATTCTTTAGATGATACAGATGGTATATGTTCGATGCACCAATGTGTTGAGAGCAACTTATTTTTGAGCTGATAAATGAGGAGAATCAACGTTTAGATACCTATCTGAGTGTTTTGACTTTCTGAAACTTTGTACCCTAAGATGTCATCCGGTTTTCTCTTGACAAGAACATCTAGAAACGGAAAAGTGTCGTTTTCATCTAACAATCTTCAACATCTTCACAATAAATTTAATGTCCAGATGTATCTCATTAATATGTTCAAGAAATCCTTAAATCCATTGGGCCAGATCATAAATGTAAATATGTAAGTTGAAGATCAGGGTGAAACCGAGCTTCTCCAGATTGTTCATAAAACTGTTCCTTAAAGAAGTGAAGAAAACCCATCTAGTACACTCCAAATTTTCTATACTTTCATTATTGTCTTTCATGAGGATCCTTCGAAAAGTTCTTCCAGAAAATCAAGTACTGGAACGTTATAGGCCAGTGACTTCAAACAGTACATCGGAAAGCTATGAAACAAAGCACACCGCAAATATAAATAAATATAGGGTAATAGATTTATTGTCCAGTTTAAACGTTTCCTCTGAAGACGAGAACGATATATCTCTCGAAGCATCAAAAAGTCTAAACTGGCAAAGTGGCAACCAACTTAGAAATTGTTCTACCATTGACAGCCTTTAAATCAAACTGCTGTTGAAATATATTAGTTCTTTATAAGATATTCAATATTTTTCTTTCATAAAGTTACTATTTTCAAGATTAACAGTTATTATTAATAGGAATAACAATTATCACTTAGATATTTTGTCGATTTTAGAAATTCTCCAGAATGTTTCATTTTCAGTTTAACTGTTGTGGAGTGGAATCAGCAAATGAATACGATACGTCCTTATGGCGCCTTCAAGCCCTTGGGCCCTCTCTAGCTGTCCCGTTGACTTGTTGCAAATTAGAAAATGTAAATCAGTCGAGGGCTTATTTAAATCCAAAGCCGATAAACCGTACCTTATGTCAAGATTTGGAAAGGAACAGGCATGAAGGATACCGACATACTGCAGTAAGTTTTTAACCCTTAATGAGTATATCAATTTCTTCTAAATAATAAAAAATCATAGATCATAAATAGTGGATTAGTGTACATCGAAGTAAACAGATCCTTGGATCAAAATTAGAGATATCTCCATCCAAAGTTATTTCGTTTGGCCGCTAGAGGGCGTCAATACAAAAATATTAGCAAGTTTTCCAAATACATACAGCGTTGGTAGCTATTTTTCCAAATACAGCGTCCAATTACCTGAAAGGGTCTAACAGCATAAGATAAGGTCAGCGGCTCCAGAAAGGTATTTTGAAAATGACTTGTGTGGTAACATCGGCGAGATATAAATCTACCATTGACACAAATTCAGCCCCGCATCTCGCTGCGTTCTGGTGATAATTGATCAAATAGGCCCTAGACCGGGTATTTTTCAAAATTGTTTTTTTCAAAAACTATTGCAGCTTTCCTAATGAAACAAAAACTGTTCGTTAGACAAAACATTAGTCTACATCATATATTTTTTAAAAAGTTTTTGTCTTATTTACTATTAAAAAATAAATAAAAATATTTTTTTTCTAGAATTTATTCTTAGTTCACGCAGAGGTACAATCACAGAAAAAATATATAATGTAGCTTACTATGTCTAGTACCTATTACTACCAAAAAGTGCATAAATATAAAATGGGTGCAACACTATAAAAAAAAATAAAACTTCTTATTAGGTACTAATGGCTTCCCATTTGTGGTACCATTATCATCTGTTTGTTACTCAAAAATATATTAGGTAGTTAAAAATGTAAGGAAGACTTTAATTTTGACATAAACAGATGAAAATTGATTGTGGAACTACAACGTTTTTAGAGAACAAGACGAAACCTGTCGTTTTCCAGCTGGTCGCGTGTGTGCATTGTGTTTTTTTTACCTATCATTTTTATGCCCCCACCACTATAGTAGCTCGACTTTAATTATTGTGTGCGGATTGTTTCAGATTATTATTATTTTTTTATAGTTAAACTGTTTTATTTGTGCTCGCTCATGGTTTCGGTTTGATTTACCTATTTTATTTTATTTTTACTTAGTTTGTTTTGTTTATTTTTGTTTTGTTTTGTTTTGTTTTGCTTTATTTTATCTGTTTTATTTTGTTTTGTTTATTTTTTAATTTAATTTATTTTTTTATTTGTTTTTATCTTATTTTGTTTTATTTTGTTTGTTTTTATTTTATTTTGTGTTACTTTATTTTTTTTCAGAAGACAATTTTTTGATCGTTGTTATTGCAGTGGAACGGCCTCTGCTTCTTTCTTTGTCGGAGAAACCGCTCTGGACTGTTAATGTGTAGTGGTTGATTTTGGGTTTTGTAAAAATAAAACGCAGAATTTTTGTTACTTGTAACGTGTGAGCTGGTTATTCGCAACCTAGCCGGCCGCGCTTCGATCATTATCAATACTCGATTCAAGCAACTTCGCGCTAGATCAAACTTTATAAAAATAATTCGCAACTACGCAAAGTCAAGTCACCGTTTACGATTCAATATTACAACGAAAAATTCCACGTTGCAAACAACCAGCTCACACGTTACAAGCAACAAAAATTCTTCGTTTTATTTTAACAAAACCCAAAATCAACCACTACCACAGTAGCCGTCCAGAGGGGTTTCGCCGACGAAGAAAGAAGCAGAGGCCGTTCCACTGCAACAACAACCATCAAAAAATTGTCTTCTGAAAAAATAAAGTAACACAAAATAAAATAAAAACAAACAAAATAAAATAAAACAAAATAAGAAACAAACAAAACAAAATAAATAAAAATAAAATAAAATAGGTAAATCAAACCAAAACCGTGAGGCGAGTTCAAATAAAACAGTTTAACTATAAAAAAAATTAATAATCTGAAACAATCCGCACAAAATAATTGAAGTCGAGCTACTATAGTGGTGGGGGCATAAAAATGATAGATAAACAAAACACAATCGACCAGCTGGAAAACGACAGGTTTTTTCTTGTTCTCTAAAAACGTTGCAGTTCCACAAACAATTTTGTTTATGTCAAAATCAAAGTCTTCCTTACATTTTTAACTACTACCTAATATATTTTCGAGTAACAAACTGATGATAATGGTGTCACAAATGGGAAATCGGTGAGTAGGTACCTAAGATGGTCATAAGAAGTTTTAATTTTTTTTTATAGTGTTGCACCCATTTTATATGTATGCATTTTTTGGTAGTAATACTAGACATAGGAAGGTACATTACATATTTTTTCTGTGATTGTACCTCTGCGTGAACTAAGAATAAATCTAGAAAAAAAATTTTTTTTTTTTTTTTTATTGTTCATTAGGCCGGAAAATTTTTTTAAAAATATATAATGTAGACTAAAGTTTTGTCTAACGAACAGTTTTTGTTTCATTAGGATAGCTGCAATAGTTTTCGAAAAAAAACAATTTTGAAAAATATTGGCTCTAGTGCCTATTTGATAAATTATCACCAGAACGCAGCGAGATGCGAGGCTGAATTTGTGTCAATGGTAGATTTATATCTTGCTGATGTCACCACACAAGTCATTTTTAAAATACCTTTCTGGGGCCGATGACCTTATCTTATCCTGCTAGACCCTTTGGTGTGTCGTATGTACTTGTGTGTGAATCAGTTTGTACTTTGCGAACATAAGAAAAATGTGTCCATCTCTAAACAAATAGGGAAAAGTGATTTAATATTGACCACCTAAGGTTTACGAGTTGTAGATATATTTGTCACTGTAAATCTTTGAGAATCGTATATACTCTTGTTACATTAACTACATTTCTGAATGATCTGTTAGTTCTGCACAAAAGGTACCTCTTGTTAATTTCTCCTAATATTGCTAAATTTCCAGTAAAAAGAGAAAATTTAATTTGATGTTTTGAAAAAATAGAAGCTTATGATAATAATTAACTGTATAGGTATCTAAAAACGAAATGATTTAAGCAACCACGTTTATATAAACGTTTTTTTTTTCTTTTATAAAAGCAGCAAAATCATTAAAATATAAGACATTTAATGTGACATTTTTGCACTAAGGTCAATTCAAATTGAGGGATCTGCGGTTGCCATATGACTACTGTTTTCTTGGATATCCAGTATAATATTTCGTATTATTTTTTAATTTTGTGGAACTATAAAAATTAGGATGAGACGCGAAATATTGACCAATTTAAAAATCACGAGTAACAATCCGATTATAATTATCTTAAAATAAATATATTCAACGATTTTAAATGGGGCCCAACAAAAATCATATCCTTCTATCATGTTCTCATTATTCTTATTCCAATGAAGGCCTTTTTATACTTTTTAAATAAAAGTTCCACCACATTAGCCTCTTCACGTTTTAAAATTATTATTTCGTTATACAGAGTGTCGCATTTCTTCTGGGCTTACCTAACTTCATTTTTTCAAACGGAGTAAACTATAAATTATTGTGACTTAATTTATCATTGAATTTAAAACCTACTTTGAGAGACAGGTATTGAGTTTAATAAGAATATTACATAAATCAGATTGTGTCAAAGATGTGTTGATGAACATCATAATTAATTTGACGAAACCCGTCAAAATCACAAATGATATACAGCGGTAAAAAAATCTTGAGAAAATTAAGTTGTTAAGTTAAAACATAACCCTTTAATTATTTATTAGGAGGCATTAAAACTTTTTGTAGCTTCTAGTAAAACAACTTTATAAAGGTGCCTGAATTTAGTTAAATGGTTTGATTTAAAATACCCATTTTTTTATTTATTAACATTATGAAATTCGAAAAATCCAATGTTAGTGCCTAATTAAAATTTAAGTAAGTATAACGACGAACAAAATATAATTTTGTGTAATATAAAAATGGCACCTAATTGAATCTGTTAGTTGATTATCAAAAAAAAATAGTTTGCACATAAACACGCAATCTATTTTCCCATTTTTAATTTTTTATTCGTTCGATTCCTTTCTATATTCTTATTCGTTCAAAATTTTTACATCATGAAAGTTCTTTTAGAGGGTTTAGAAATAATCTGTTAAAACATTTTTCTTCTTCTTCTTCTTTTCTAGTGGTTGGTTCTAATAAGTCCCATAGCACCGCGGCCTAATTAGGCATATTGTGCGTCCCACTACTAGTCCTACTCAGCAAGTAGTTTTGTCGTTTTGACAAGGTCCAAAAGCTTCCTTGCTGACACTTCTCTCAGTTTCTTGGATTCCAAATAAGATCGCCCCAGGAGCGTCATTCTGGCACTCGCCCAGGATATGCAGAGAAGTTTCATAAACTAAAACATAGTATGGATTCCATGCTTCTTTATAAAAATATGACCACTTCAATTTTCACTAACCACCGCGCCGCTGCAAACTGTTATGTAAATTCTGAAAACATAATTCAAACTTAAGACTTTTGTATAAGTGCAATAATGTAAATGGTCATCATATTGTTAGTGTTAGTGCTTTGCGTAGGCGGGTGGAATTTTTCCATTAGATGCTGAAATAACAGTAACAAATCTTATGGGGGCGTTACAAAAGTTTGTCAACCTCACTATTTCTATCACTGATGATGTTAGGAAATTATTCCTTCCATTCCTTTATTGTAAAACTTATTTTCTGTTACATTCTCTATTAGGATCTACTACATCAATTAATATGGTTTTCATCCATTCTATTTTTGAAAAAACAAATACTAAATGAAAAATCGTGCAACAAGGGAAACGGATGTCTAATATTCATTTAGTACAAGAAAAATTTTAAAAAACCTCATTCAATATGGTCAATATATAAATTTTATCAATACTATTATAACTATGACTGAAGATTATTAAACATACAGGAAGTTTTCATGCAAATACCTCTGAACATTTTGGTATACAGGGTGGCCAAATGAAAACGAAACAAAGCCATTTTCAGGAACTGCGTCAAGATTGTAGAAAAACGCTCAGACCCGTCGATTTTAGATTAAAGGGGGACATTCTTTGCTGGTATTTTTCCACTTATCCCCTAAAATATTTAAATGACATTG